TTTGCATATGGAAAGACAGCAGAAGCGCACTGTATTTCCCTTATTCTCTCCTCAGCATCTTCACCAGTAAACCTGCAGGGATAAAGAGCTTTTGTGTGGTTCTGCTACGTTTTTGTTGATCCCTGCTGATGTAAATCAAACATACTGTCCTCCTGTTATCATCAGGTTTAGAAAACCTGTTTTTAATCACTTCATACAGGTATCTAATTTGAATCAGCCTGCCATGCTGCAGGACTCTTGTGCTTTTTTAATTGGCATCTTTCTCATTATGTTTGAACAAAGTTGCAGAGACACTGCAGGACACCAGTAGAGACACCCGAATCACCAATCCTGTTGGGCTGGCAATGTGATGGTGTGATATACCAGGGGAGTCTAGGAGATCTGCGTATGTGGTGACGGTGACTAAGTGGAAGCAATCAAGTTCAGACATGTTGCTGTGAGTGTTTCTAGGTCCTGCCTATACCATCTGAAAGAGAATTGGGACAGAAATTTGCCTGGGATTTTTAACACCAGTATGGTGTTAAACCAGCCTGGTTTCTAAGAACAATTCCTGGGATTCTAGTGAAGCAGAGCTCCCTGAAGGCATTGATGGAACTGTCATAGGGCACGTATGTGGAGTATATCAAGACCAGTGTGTTAACCCACCATAAGGATGGCCAGGATACCCAACCAGTTCATGGGAGTCAGTCCCACTTAAATTCCTTTAGAATTTGAAAATCAGCCCTCAGATAACTGCTAAAAGGCCTTTTTTTTTTTTTTTTTTTTTTTTTTAAAGGATGTAGCTCTTGGCCTCAGACATGGTTATATGATGGCTGTGAGTCCTTTTCCAGTTGTGGTTGCCGACAAGGTGTGTCTAAATGCGGCACGTTGTTGCGCCTGGCAACATAAAAAGGAGAGGAGAGACCAGAGCAGTATAGAATATGTTATCTGGCACTGAAGCACCTTCCTTCCCTCTCAGTCTGTCATCCAGAATCTTGTAATTGGCAACAAAAGGCTTTCACAGTTCTGGTGGACAGTTTGATTTTTCCTATCTCCACCTTAAGATCAGTGTGTTCTTAGGGCTCTGCAGCTCTCTGGCAGAACTGTAGATGGGTGCCCCTGCTGCACCAAGCACCGGAATTGTCCACTTACCTATGGTGCTAGTCATTTTTTCTTTTTTTTTTTTAAGGCTTTGTTAGAGGGGTTGGGGCTCCTTTGCTTCCCTAATGACAATTGCTAGAGATTAACTCTGAACCGAGAAGACAAGTTTACAGAAAAAGAAAACCAGGAGTATCATCAACTGGCTAGACCAGCATTGCCTGTTCTTGCATTCAGGATGGATAATGCAGCCTTTTTACTAAGATGGCTGGGAGCCCTCTGTTCCAGCCTCTTTCTTGTGGGGTGACCCCCTGTGGGGCATAACCCAAATGCGGTGTCTCTGCTGTGGGAGAGGTGCGCTCCTGGGCACGTGACGAGAGTTTTCTTGCCTGTTGTGTTGCGTGGCCACAGGGCAGGTGGGTGTCCAGTCCTGTGACAGAGCTGGAAGCCATCTGCAGTTACACGTCCTCTTTCCCCTTCCTGCACGTGAACCAAGAACTTAGCCATCGACCTCACATAATGGAGGGGAGGAATTGCAGGCCCACAGGAGTGTGGTGTGATGGTGAGCAGGCTCTCACTGAGCATTCTGAATCAAGCAAACAGGCAAACCTTTTTATGTTGGCAAAACATTAAATCGAGAGTCTCTGTTCAGTTGCACCACTCCAGATTTTTTTTTTTTTTTTACACTCTTTTTATATGGTTTAGGTAGACTGAATGATTTTTAAGGCAACAGAGAATTGGGCCATTGATGGTTTGGATCCATTTAGAAAGACTTGCAGGCAAGGAATCAGTTGTGCAGATCACATCTTGCGGGGTTTCTCATTCAGGTCAGACAGATATTTGGATTTTATAAAGATTATGGCTAATTGGATTAATTTCTGATTGAGGGCCAAAACTAGCTTAACTTGGAATTTACTTCATATTTGCTTTCAAACAGTCTCGAGCTTTGAAAGTGTTTGGTTTTAGTTCTACAGTTCTGCATGTACACAAACCACATGCAACTTTGGAAGGGGTGGCTTTGGGTTCCAGTTTGGGTCTGGTTCTAAGCATTGCCATAACTAGATGGAATCAGGCTCAGTTCTAGTATTCTTACTGAGATTCAGGCTTCCTCAAAATATGAGGAAATTTGGCCTGTGATCCTGGTTCAGATACATAGATGACATTTCTAGAAAGTTACAGGAAGGAAGGATCTAGATGTCTCCCAACTTACATTTTTTGGGTCTGTATCAATTGCAGATCTGAACATTTTTTGAACTCAAGTGTTTCTGACTTAGTACTCAGTTTTCAACTTGAATGTCTGTTAAATCTGAAGGGTTCAAGTCTGTATTTTATCCAAACTTGGTACATTTTGAATCTCTCTTCAGATTTATATGTATAAGGTAGGTAGTAGGACTGAGGAATGAATGTTATTTTGGGGTCAAATGGTCCAGAGTACTAAGAACTTCTTACATCTGATATCCTCATTTTGGTGTAGATCTAGTTTTTAAATTTTAAATTCAGAGAGTATTCCTATTATTAGAACTGAATAGAAGTATATAAAATCTTGTCGTTTTCATCAGCTGGCTTTGATACAGGTCCCCTTGATAAAGTATTCATATTTTTCCTGTAACATTCTCCATCATAAGGCTCTGAGAGATGTCAGGCTGAGATGGGAGGATGAAGCACTTTGAATATTCGCGGTACCATGGAACTACCTGGTCATGGAACTATATTTGAGTCCATTTTACAGATGGAAAAACTGAGGCAGTGAGTGGTCACTTGGTACATACACAGCCAGATTGAGTTGTCACAGTTAGCAGCAAAGTCTCCAAATGCTCCTTCCGCTTTCCTGACCTTACATGCCCTTCAATAAGGTGAATATGGTCACAAAGTCCAGAGAAGCAAATATGTAATAGGGCTAAATTTTTGCAATATGTATTTGGAGTAACTTGTAGAGCTGCCTCTACATATGCCAGGTGTGGATGTAGCTAAATATTATGGAAGGAGTTGAACTAAGTCACCTAATAGAGCTTTTTACTCTTTATATTTTACCCTCAGGTAAGAAAGGCTGTGTTTCGATGAAAACGCTAATGAAAATTAACCTTTTGAAAAAAATTACTTAATCCTTCTATACGTACACCTAGATGAAAACAGAATGCTTATAAGTGAAATACAAAAATGTGTAGCAGCTACCAGTGAACAAAACTAATCAAATTCACCAGTCACCAGGCTGGTTAATATTATAAAGACTGTGTGAATCATGAATATCCAGCCAGCCTGAGGGTACAAATCCATGAATCTAGTGAGTTTACCTGTCTCTCTTAGTCAGCAGGCTATCCCTTTTCGATCACTACAATTTAAGCATATATTGCCTCATAATAAATGCGATAATAAAAATGTATTTTGGGAAGCAGGATGTTGTAATAGAGCTTTAGATCAAAAGTGAGATTCATTTTACTTAATTTTAGCCAACTACAAGCTAGCTGCCTAGCCTAATCTAGTTGTGTAGGCTCCCTCTCCAGTGGAGAGAGAGAGAGAGAAAGCTGGGATAGATTGCTTTGGGGAGGTGCCTGTCTCTCCACTGACAATAGAGGGAGCCTACACAACTGGCTTAGGTGGGACACTTAACTTTTAGGCGGGTATGAGTTACTCCAGGCAAATTCGGTGTTAAGCATCAGGAGATTGGGGTTCTTTTCTGTCTTTCCACTGATGTACAGCATAACCTTGGGAATATCACTTAACCTTCCCCCCTCCCCTCCCTTGGACCCATTTTCTCCATCTAACAAATACCCTGTGGATAAAGTTCTTGGAGAACCTTTATCCAAAGGTGACATGCAGGTGCAAAATCTTGTTTTCCTGCTCTTGCTACTTTCACATGCCTGTAGTTGTCATTAAAATCAACAGATTTTTTGTGACAGCGTAAGTTTACGTGTGATGAGAGGCAGGGCTGAGTGAAAATTATTTTAGAAGCAGCATATATCTTCCTCAGATATGACAGAACACTGTAAAAATAAAAATGTAGTAACTGGTTACGTGTATTGACTTTCCCATCTTTGCCTCCCGTTCATACCTTCCCTCCAGCCCCCCCTTCCCCCCCAAATATAGGGAGTGGGGAGAAGACTCTTCAAATTAGACCTATATTTTAAATAACCTTGGCCTGTTTGCAACTGGGAAAATGTTTTTTTTTACTTGAGAGATTTATTTCTGTCCTTGTAACACCATGTACTATATGCATTGCACCTGTTCAGACATAAGCACAGCACATTATTATAGCTGTAGGGGTAGAAGCTTCCCAATCTATATTTTTGAAGGGAGGGAATGCTGGGGAGAATCGCCCTCTCCCTCCACTTGTTTACTGAGCAGTCTCTTAGGAAGACTTCTTCCTCATCAAGCTCAATTTTCCCTGCTCCCCTATTGTCTGGGGAAACCTATCTTCAGGAGCGTCTTTCTTGAAAGAGCTCATGACTTTAAAATCATCAGCGGGCTTTGTGCAGCCTGCCTGTCAAAAGAGATATGTTTACACCTTCCCCGCATGTGTTAAAGCTCTAAGGTTACGGAGCAGAATGGCTGATGCGTCTCGGCGCTTCGTGCTCGCACGCACCCAAACCCCGTCCTTCTGATAATTCCGCGGACCGCCCGAAACAATGCATTCCAACATCCTGCAACAGAAATAAGAAAGGTGGAGCCAGCCGGCGCTCCGCTCCTTCTCCGCTAGCGACCCTGCTCAGCCCCGTCTACCTTTCCTCCGCCGCCTCAGCCTGGCAGCATTGAACCTGTTGCTGCATTAGCCGAGTTGTATTTTGCCGGAGAGGGGAAGGAGGGTTGTCTGCTGTCTGGGAGGAGGGCTTTGTCTGCGGGCGCCTTTCTCTCCCTCTGCCTGGCTCGCTCGCTCCCTGTCTCTCGCACTCTCGCTGGCTCTCGCTCGCTCTCTCTCGCTCGCTCTCCCTTTCCCGTCTCTGTGGTTTGTAAGGTAGGTTGCAGTGTGTGTATATACACAACATCAAGAGCAGGAAAATGGACTCATTAGGGAGGCAGGCAGTCATTACCACTCACACTGTACTTCCAGGGAGACAGCGACTATGAGGAGACAAACTGAGGACTGGGGAACAAGGTAGGCCAGTCAACTTTTATAAAAAATAAAAGAATAAAGCCTCTGCTCTCCTTAAACCACCGGCACTTCTTTATTCTCCCCCCCCTCCCCCCCGATTTTTAATTTAGAGGTGTAAGTTTGCCAGACCTATTTGCTAGCTTAAAATTCGGGATATCTACAGAAGGCCTTACCCTCTACAAATGTTTTCCCCCCTTCTACTTTATTTCAGGGTGTGCCCCCTTATGATTCACTTTAATTACTTTTTTTTTAATCACGAAGGAAACAAATACGTTTGTTTTCCAATACTAGTTCCAAGTAAATCAATATCTTTCACTCTTTCAAAACAGCCCTCTCCGTATGTTTGTGGGTCTCTCTGCTTTTTCTTGTCTGTTTATGCAGTTCCATCTGTCCGTCCATATATCATGTTCTCCTTATTTACTGCTAAATGGGGTTTTGTTAGTATTTGCCAATGACTTTTAGCTGTAATGCTGGCGACCAGGGTTAACGGTGACTCTCGTTCTTTGTTTTCTATATATATGCACACTGTAAGTTTAAAGTCCATGCTTGGCATACAGTAAATAAAAGCAAAAAAAGGGAAGGCAGGTTCCACTCCTCCTGACAGGATTTTTAGTCAGAGATTTTGCCGTTTGTCTCTTTTGGCGTGGGGGTGGAGGGGGTTAATTTTGGTTATTGTACATGTACTTTTTCCTCCTGGATATTTTTAACGTCTATTTTTCATTATTAGTATTTTTCTAGTTTCCTTTACCGGGAAGAAAGGAGACGTATATTCCAACTTTTATGTTGCTGAGCTAATGCAATGTTATGGAGGCATCACTGGGTTAATAAGAATTCAAACTTTCTAAGAGGGAGTTTGTATCCTTGGCTGCCCCCCACCCTCCCACTTTATGCATGGTTATGCTTGTGTTTCCGTGTGTACTGCCGGGGAAGGGAGGGGGGAAGGGAATAGATATTTTTTACAGTGGTGGCAAATTATGAAATCTATCGAGCCATTTTGTCCAGAAATAGTAACTATTTATTTACCATTTTTCATTCCACAAATATGCTGCTTATTTGTAATTTCAAACATTGAAGGTTTTCTCTGAATTAATCTTTCTTTTTTTCTTTTTTTTTTTTTTCTTTTTTTCTGGGGAGGGATTTGTGATGCATTTCATAGCCCATTTAGCATTGTCGAGTTTTTGGAGCCCAGATTTATCATGGGTTCTAAAGGCTGCTTAAATTGATCCATTTGAAATGGTCTTTTTATCTGAGCTCCTGTCATTTCTGTTGGAGAATAAAACTGCTACTCTGCTGGTAACAAAAAAAACCAACACAAACCAAACACCAAAAACAAAACAACAAAAAAAAAAAGAAGAGAGATAGTGGAAGTGAGTTACATAAAATGTTCTGGAGAATTGTAAGTAATTATATAAAATGGACGCTGATCAGTGGAGATCTCTCAACAGTAACAATCACCTTTTTTAATCGAAAATTATTTATTTAATAGCAAGAGGCGGACTTCTTAAAAACATGCATTAGGCCTTCCTCTTAGCACAAAGAAGTCCATAATGCAGTATTCCCAACCCACCTGGGACTGCCTAGGAGATTCTCCAAAACGTTCAAATCCTTTGAAATGTTTCTTAAAAATGCATTATTTTACAGCCAGGGAGAACTTTTGCTGCCAACAGGTTTTTTTTTGCTGTTGTTTGGGGCTTTTTTTAGCTGTCCTTTAACTTACGACTCCCCAGTTTCAACAGAAGTGCCTCCTTGCTGAACAAACTAAGTTAATTAAAATCCAAAGCAGCAGATCTGTTCACTGGCACTCCAACTACAGAAACTACTCGCTCCATTTTATTAGCTTTTTTATTTCCAGAACCTGAGCAAAACTTTTCAAGGTTTTATGCATCAGTGTGCCAAGAATTGGTGGCTCATCTCTTAGCTGGGGAATGACATTCATTGCTTCCTATTTTTTGTTCCTCCTTTTTATTCAAGCTTCTAAATTAAGAGTTTGTTGATAGACTTTAAATGTGTTTATTGCTTTAAACGACCTGTTAACTGTAGCAAGGTATTTCCTCCCCTCCTAAAGTTTGACTCTCAAGCTTTGAAACTCAGATTTGGGCGTAGAGGGGATGCTGAAGTTACGGCAAAAATGTAAGGGTCTTAAAGGTGGAGTTGCTGATGCCTTTGGATGATGGTCAGCCCGGAGTGATGCAGCTGGAGCATTAGCAGCCGTCCCCCTCGTGGGGTGGGTGGGTTTGCAGGCACCTGTCATTTTCTCCTGAACCAGTGCAGGTGTATGTTCCTCAACAGCGCGGGTTTTTTGTAGGAAAGCACATGGACCTGTCCTCAGAATTCTTAGGCGTACGTTTAGCAGAAGCCCAGCCTCATCTTAACATTTTTGAAAAACTTTAAAAATGACTACAAGGTACCTCTTTTGATTTTACGAAAACCCCAGGCAAGAAGAATTCGAGCAGAGAAAGAGAGTCGGAGTAGGAGAAACATTTTTCATTACCCAGTAAGATCTTTTTTTAATCTTACAAACTTTTCCAGTAGGAGGATTTAATTTTCTTTGACCCCCAAGTATATTCTAGCAAAAAAAAAAAAAGTTAGCCCTTTCAATAGCACAAAGTCCATTTGCAATCTGGATACAGCAGCAAAGGGTAAAGTATGCCTAAGTAAACTTAAATCCGGCATATGATGCTGTCGCTGGAACTCGGGGAGCGTCAAACCTGTTGGCCAGGGGGTAGGACGGTGGCGGGGTAGCGTGTGCGGGGCAGCGTGGGGTGCTCCGGCTTCCCCTGCTTGCAGCCCGGGCAGCTGTGCGGAGCAGAGCTCACCGTGTTGATTGGGTCACAGTGTGCTTTATTTTAGCGTTGGAGCAGACAGTTATCTAACACACCCACATGAGGAAGTGCTCTGGAGCAGTTATTTCATGCTTTGCCATGCCCTGTAGCTAGAGTAATTTTGGGCTGAATGGCGTGTGTATATGCCTCTCACTCCTGTGAGACGAAAAGCAACGCTGTTGGGTTTTTTTGTGTGTATGGTTTTGTGTTGTGTTTTTTGTGTTTTGGTGGTGTTTTTTTTTTTTTTAACAGGACCAAAAATGGGATACAAGACAGTCAAATCCAAATACCAAACAAATACCAAGTCAAATTAATTTTAATAGTAGAGGATTTTGCTTTTCTCTTAAAGGAGGAAAAAATATCCATCTTGTTTATTTTGATAAAGACAGTTGTAGCAATTTCCTGAGTCGGATATATCATTATTATAAATATTACTCACAGTTTTCCTATTTTCACATTTTCTTCATAGGCCCAGCTTATTCATAAGGGAAAACAGCTGCAGAAAATTAAAAAAAATGTAATATTATTTGTATAAAACTTTGATGTAAATAGAGAACAGTGTCCCCTGCTAGAGAATTCTGTGGGATGGCTTACAAATCCCATACAAGAGAGATTACAGTCTTAGATAAATTGTTATTTAAATCATTTCAAGAAAACCCTGTTCATTTTTGCAGACCATATGAGGTTTTAAGCAGAATGATCTGAATAGGAGTTCTGTTTAGAAATTGATGGCATGCTGTGGCCTTATAGATTTCAGTTGGTTTCACTCCTGTCTCTTTTTATAGGACTTTTTTACACTGTGATCTGTATGGTGAAGAGCTTCTACTGAAAGAGATTTGTACATATTAATGGAAAATTAAACACTGAAATTTACCTTCAAGTTAACTTAGATTTTTTTTTTTAAGCAAAACTTTTAGAAAATCCAGATCCTTTATAAACATTTTTAATTTTTTTTTTTTAATGAAACAATGCACTGGAAATAGTTTTTTTTTAAAGAATAACTTGTTCCTTCTGTAGAGTCTGCAGTTCAAACTGTGCTGCAGAGTGAAAATGATGGCAAATCAAAGTGAAACGAACTTCACTGATCTTGTTAGTTTGGCCCAAGAAAATTCAGAAAGTTAACAAGGAATATTATCTGTGAAAAATAACTTGGATTTTTAATCTGTCTATGCCGGTAATGCAGGTTTCTCTTGGTAAAGAGTAGCGTTTGTCTGTGCACCAAATGTTGAGATACTTTCATAGTATCTGTGCAACTTTTAACTTGAGGAGATTTTCACAGATGTATCAAACTTTCAGTGAGGAGTGAATAAAGGCAAAAGTTTTTGTCCAGGATGGTTTTTGCTTTGATGGTGTTGCCTATATTTCTGGTTATTATTTATCTTAAAAGTTACAATTTAATTCTAACAGCACTGATCCATTTCTTCTGTAATAGGAAGCTGGGAGTTCCGCATGATTACTGCCTATGGCTTTCTTGGTTTCTTACATTTTTGTGTTTAATCCTTCAGTGCCATCGTGTACTATGACGGCATTTTGACCGCCCGGCAGTGGCGGGAGTGCTGTTTGCGGACGGTTCTTGTAAAATGGTCACCGGAGGCACGGGGACACGTGCCACCCCCTTCTTCCATAGCCGCTGGGGCAGCCAGGGCTGCCGGTGCCGCGGGGCAGGTTGGTACACATCCCAGAGGTTTGCGAGAAGAAAAAAGTTCAGCTTTTACCATGTACAGTGAAGACCGTATATCTCAAAGGAGTTAAAACGCAGGAGTGGGAAACCGGGCTAATGGGATAAAGCTGTCTTAAAAGGAAAAAGTTCCTCTGACTGCTGGGGTTTGGCTTTGGGGAGAGGAGTGTGGAGGGTCCCAGCCTGCTGCCGATGGGGCAGATGTTGACCTAGCAGAAAAGCGAGCTGCTGTCCGGGTTGGCACTAGGTGGCACTAGGGAAGAAAGGCCATGGACCAGGCGAGCACAAAGGCTGAAATCCTTTCACGCCAAGAGCTGGTCCCTTCCCATTAGCAACAACCTGCCCCACCAGCCCTGCGGAGGGCAGATTTGTAGCCTGTGGTGTACTTGTCAGGTACTGTTCCTCAACATCTTTTATGAAAGATACCTAATTCAAACACCGGCAGCGTCTTTGGGACTTTATTCTTCAGTGCCTTCTGTCATATGCCTTTCCTTGTGCTTTTC